CTTACCTTTTTCTTTTCATTGCCTGTTTCCTCACTTCTTCCCTTTTTGCCTTTGCCTTTTTATTATACTTTACCTTCTTTCCATATTATACTTTGTTATACTCCACTTCAACCATTCATTTAATTGACTTCAGCCAACCTCCAATCTTAGTTCCTTAACGTAATCCTTTGCTTTATGAAAGGTGGTAAGCTGAGTTAAAAGGTCTCTTTCACTCTAATCCAGTGTGGCATTTCGTCTGTTTTAAGAAAGTGAAAGTTTTTCATCAATGCATCCTTGTTTTCCTGATTCAAATATCCTTCACATCCACAGTCTTTTTCAAGTGAAAATGTGCTCCTGGAATTTTTTCTTTCTTCTTGGTCTTTTTTTCTTTTTGTTTACCTAAATCATTATCCAAAAGAGGGTGTTTTCGTTTTCTCTGATTCTTGATTTGTTTCTTTTTTGATATTTCATTTATTATTCTTTTGCGTTTTGGAAATACAATGTTCTAGCTAGCGCTCAACAATTCAATTTATTCAAGCTTGCAATCAATCCTCTCCGATCGCATGTGTATACTTGTCTATTCTAAGAATATCGGTCGATCGAAAAGAGTCTTTCGCAGTCAAGTAGAAAGGGTCACCCAATGGAAACCAAACTCATTTCAGTAACTCAGAATGAAATTGATTTGTGATAAGGAGGGTCAGGGAACACAGTGATTTAAAGTGGCAGCTGAATATTCCTAAAAGGAAAAGCATACAAAGAAAAGAAAGGGATAAAAAGTGGAATAGTACAAGGTTAAGGAAGCACTTGAATAAGTGCAGCTTAATAAATATATAAACAAATCCATAAATAATAGAGAAAAAACTGAAAGAATGGAGAGAGGAAATGCATCATAAATATAGGATACATGCCCTGATTCCTTACACACTTGCCTAATTTTGCACCTTATGTGTTCTATGCGCTGACTGTGTAGAAGGAGGAGACTGGAATAGACATTTTAAAAATATGTTAGGAATGTAACAGGCTGAGATTTTCATACGAACACTTTGCAAGTTGCTGAAAAATGAAGTAAAATAAAATGGCAGGCTTTTTAAAGGACTGTGGTTGACAGTATTAGCTTGTGATGATGAACTAAATGAACTTGTATTGCGAGTTATGTTGGGAAATGTCTGGGGTTTTAATGTACTTGGTGCAATGGATGAGAAAAGGCTTGAACTGATAGTTGACAGATTTATGTATGCAAACTGCCACAAACATAATGTTGGTGACAATGGCAGTAAAGAGCAGTAAACGTGATGGGAGGTGGTGTTAACAAGAAGGCAAAGGCTTTGATGTAGCAGTACAACATAATCAGACTTTGACCAGAAAAGAAATAGCGAAGAACAAGCAAAAAACCTGGAGAATCGTGATCATTTCACTTATTTTTTCTTTTAACCAAACTCAGAATGAAATGTGATTTGTGTTAAAGAGGGTCGGGAACGCAGTTACTTGAAGTGGTAGGTGGACTTTCCTTAAAGAAAAGCATACAAACGAAAGACAGGAAGCAAAAAGTGCAATAGTGAAAGAATGAGTGCAATAGTATAAATAAATAAATCCATAAATGATAGAGGAAGATGTGAAAGAAGGAGAGATGTTATGCATCATAAATACAGGATAAATGCCTTGATTGGTTACACACTTACCTAATTTCACACCTCGTGTTATATGCGCTGACTGTGTAGAAGGAAGAGAGAAGGGAGAAGACAAAAACCAACCTATATAGAATTGAATCCTTTGTCTTCCTTTTCTGCCTCTTCCACTTGCTGGAAGAAACCAAATTCTGAATCCATTCCAGCAAGGTCACCCGCTTAAGCATAAGATACCATTTTCAATGGGCGTGGTCTCTTGCTTAAGAGGCTGCATCCAATGGGTGAAAAGGGGTTTGAACTGATAGTTGGCAGATTCATGTATGCAGATGGTGACAAACAAAGTTGGTCGCAATGGCAGCAAAGAGCAGTTGAAGAATGTGGGCCATGGTTGATAGTGCGCAAAAAAGCGTGACAGCAGGCTGTATAAACAGAAAAGCAAAGGTTCTGACATGGCAGTACAATAACAAAATCAGGCTTTGAACAGAACAGGAATAGCAAATAACTTAGTCTTCCTCTTCCACTTGCTGAGATGGAACCAAATTCTGAATCCATTCCAGCCAGCGCACCCACTTCACCATGAAACAGTCATGTTTTTCCCTTTCCATCGTAGGGAATAATGCATATGGAAATCAGAAAACAAAAGAAGCAAGAAGAAAAAAGATCAAAAGAAAATTAATGTTAGTTCACCCTTTTACATTCTACAAATCTTTTTGATAAAAATGTTGAGACTGGAATAGACAACATTTTGAAATTATGGTTGGAATGTAAGTAGTAAGGGGGGTCACTTGGGCACCGACCAATCAGAGCCAGATATAGGTCACGTGGTACAAATGGACCAATCAGCGTGCAGCAAGGAGTCACATGACCGGTCAATCAAATATTAGCCTCTCGGGAAACCCTCACCCCCCGGAAATTGTGACGTCATAGGGAGAATGACGTCATGGTGGGGGTGATGACGTGATCCAAAAGGTAACATGGATAAACCTTGGGGTGGGGCCCAGTAACCCTAACCCTGACCCTGACTCCAACCCTTATATATGAAGATGAACATGAACGCTCATCCTTGTGGTAAGAATAATTCATGAGGGCCCATGCGCACTACAGAATCATCGATTTTTTCGCGTGGACGGCTCTCCCCCTTAACCTTAAGCCCCAGACCAGGGTGGGGGAAAGTCGAGGTTTACCGGGAAGTCTCCCCGGAGGTCACGCGAGTATTTCTTGGGGA